CTCCTGGTAACTATGATTGTGCACATAGGTGATGTTCATGTGAAGCGTTAATACTTGCCGAATACGAAAATTTATTATCCGGATTATCCGATATAATTATTATCCGACAATTGAAATGCGGATATTTGAATTATCCGGATAATCCGGATAATTCGGATAGTGGAATAACGTAAATAATCGAACTATCCTGATATCCGGATAATCCGAATCTTAATATGAAGAGAATGAAATGTATTTCAATCTACATATTCATTAATTCTGATCAAAATATCCACTGTAATAAATGAAAGAGAAAAATGATTTCGAAACTGTCCCGTACGGCCCGAAGTACCGCAGAGAATGGTGCCACAAGACTTTGCCTGTAGCGACTCGTTTGCCCCTTACTTTGTCGTCTTGCGCGATATATGCTATTTATACAGGTATTGAATCTCGTACAGCTCTTTGCGCTAAAATTAATATATTACACAGTAGTTTACCTATTGAAATATATTATATATATTTATTATCTTCTTTTCTCTAGCAATGTTATTGTACAGGGTGCCCCGAAATTAAATGTCAAAACATCGGGAGCGTGTACGGGACCGATAAAGAAAAAAGTTCTTTACAGATTAGCTCGTTTTACCTTCGCTTTAGTAATAACGGAAAAATAATGTTTTTATTATAAAACGTAAAATAACATTACAATTATTAGATTTATTAAAATATATCATTAAATAAAAGTTACAAAGCATGAAATAAAAAGAAGAAAGTGAATTTAAATTCTTCTGAAGCAGGAATAATGACAAATAGATGTACGATAATGTGGAATTATTGAAATCTATATATTCAGTTTTACATTTCTGTCTTTCTCTTACGAATTAGTCAGTTACTCATCAGAAGCGTTGAGGAACATTGTCATAATATGCCGCGTACATATTGTAACGTTGAATATGCCGACATGGTTTACATATACAGTTTGTGCAACAGTAATGTTTTCGAAGCAATACGAAAATATGCGCGCCGATTAGATGAAGTAACGAATTCGTGTGAGAAAGACAGAAATGTAAACAAAGTAAATAAATAGGTTTCAATAATCCCGCGTTGTCGCGTATCTATTTACCTTTCATCCAACTTCAGAAGGATTTCTATTACTTTGTTCTCTGAATTTCACGCCTAGCAATTTTTTTTTATATGTTTCAATAAATGTCAATTAATTGTATGTAATTTAATGTTTTATAATAAAACCATTTTTTAGCGATTTTTGCAATGTAAAGATACGAGCAAATATCTAAACGACTTTTTTCTTAGTTTATCACGCTCCCGAAATTGTCAAATTCAATTTCGGGACACCCTGTATAATAACATGGTAACATAAAACAAGAAAATAAATATATATGTAATATATTTATAATGGGTAAAGTAGCATATAATAGATAAATTGTTAATAGCAAAAGGTTGTACAAGATTCAATAGTTGTACAAAGCGTATATCGCGCAAGGCGACGAAGTAAGAGGCGAACGAGTCGGCAAAGGCTAAGTCTTGTGGCAGTTTCCGTGCGGCACTTTGAGCTGTATGGGACAGTTTCGAAATTATTTTTCACATTAATTTATTACAGTGGATATATATTTCTTATAGAAATATCATACTAAGAATCATTGATAATTACTTATTTTCAGTATTAAAAATACTGGATAATGAGTAATTATCAATGATTCTTAGTATAATATTTCTATAAGGGATGTACACCAGAATTTATGATTATGTAGATTTCAATACATTTCATTCTCTTTATATTAACATTCGGATTATCCGCATATCCGGATAATTGGAATATTAACGTTATTCCACTATCCCAATTATCC